CTTGGTGTAGCTTCAATGTCCCGCTGAAAAAGAGGAGGGAAAAAGAGAGAGAGTTTAAAATCTTCCTGCAGGATAACAAATAAGCAAGTAAACAGAATTTACATCAACCAGGTTGTGCATCTGGTGTGGTTCTTAATCGGACCAAATCATTTTCATTTCCATCCACCACTCGTGCCTATGCATGTTCATGAGCTTTAAAAAAAAAAAGTAGCAGTCTCGAACAAAGCACCAAATGTTTAATTGTAATTGGGGCTTAAAAGATCTTTTCTCATGTAGAAATGATGGACGTGATTTGTCGCAAGCCAGGATGTGACGGCTACACCAACCTGCAGCATATGCATGTGCCAAATGAATTCAGATTCTGTCTACAAGATGTAAATGCATTATTCCGCGCGGCCTCCCAGTGACACCAGTTTGTTTAGCGACTTGAACCTTCTGCACCAGTATCAATGCACTACACTTGAAATTGGTGTCATGTGCAACAGTCTCACTACTTTTCACACCACTCGTAATCTCAATTGGTTTATCTTTAGAAAAGAGGACTTGGAGCACCAGACAGTCTCTTTTTCTTATCTTCTTTTTTCATATTTCACCCTGGCAGTGACCGTCGTGTAGCTCTGGATCTCAACTACCGACGCGCACTGGCTGGCTGTCTGCCTCACCGACTAAGATTTGGCTTTAAATTTAATCAGCTCCAGAGCTGGACAAATGGTGTACTTTCAAATATTGGAACTCGGCGAGATTCTGCTTGGTTTACCGTCAAACACTTAAATAGATTCAAAAGTAAATTTGGGAAATTGGGAGTGCAAAGCTTACAAATCGCCAGAGAAGCTTGCAACTGGTGGCTGCGAGGCTGCCTTTCTTTCTCTTTGCTTGGTCGGTGAACTGAGTTGTCATCAGATGATTGCTAACAGCGGCAGATGCAAAGAAATGCCAAAAGAAAAAAAAAAATCAAATAGTGTAAGTGTGCAATCAAAACCCATGATGTTGCCGGGTAAAATCATTTCAGTAGATTTCACATTTACATTTTATTCGTCCTCTCAGTCGGAGAAGCCATCAAGTGGACTGTACGTGGGATTTAATGAATCAAAAGGTTCTAACTATTCTGAGTAATAATGCACTTTGGAAACATGTTTGCGTCTATCCTTTTTTTAAATAAATTTCCCTTTCATACGGACTAATCAGTCCTAGTAATCAGATGGAATCAAATGGTATTTATGATATAAGCCCAAAAAAGGATTTGCCTTGCAATTGATTACATGCAACACCAGTTAATTTATCTAAATTATTTTATGGATGTAAATGTTGAATTAGTACAATGCACAATGGATTTATTTTGCATTTGCTTTTGCATTATGAATTCCATTCATAAATGGAATGTCAGTGCCTTTTCTTCATTTTGAGTATTTTAGTGCCGCTGCTCACAGAATTGGAAGAAATTTGCTTTTAGACCATGCACCATGGGAATAAAAACAGCTGAATAATACTTGATGAAACATTTGTTACATCATTCACATGGCCAGAGGCTGTTCATTCCGTAATGTGCACATCTCAAACTCTCCAAGTCCCTGTAAGAACAACCCGGACTCGAGAGTCATCCAACCAAGCAACATGAAGCTGCTCCATTCAAAACAATATCAACTTGATGCAATATGTGCCCTTGATCTGTTTGAATGCAGCTGTAGCTCCCCAAAAAAGGAAATCTGCTGGATCACAGCAAAAATAGAAAACGGCTGTTCACAATTAAATTAAGGTAAATTGGTGTAATAAGCTTGGCTTATTCGGTTTTTAATATACTCGGCAATGATCTATAATAAATGCCTTTCATAATAAGCAATTAGTACAGTCATAATATCAGACGAGTAGAAAATAGTCAGTATATCATGAAATTAATATCGTTGGATGGCTTCATTAGTGGTCCATTAAAGCAAATTAGGGTTTCCAATCAGCCTTATGAATATATATATAAATATATATATATATATATAAATATATTTATATTTATATATATATATATATAAATATATTTATTCAGGGGTGAGCGGCCCCTTTAATACGATGCAATTTCACACAGTTTTTATCTTAACCGCATTCAAAGTCCATCCACTGCAAACCGACCAAACATGTAACCCGGGTCACCCCTGAGACGAGGTCGGGTCACTGGTGCAGACTCGCAATGCCTGACTGATGAGACAGCTTGGCTTTGTTTTCTTTATGCACTGGCTGAGTCCCAGTCAGGCAGAACCACCATTTCCTGCCCAGTGAGGTATACGTTTGTTGTATATGTTTAATTACTGTACATGCATAACAGTGAATGCTCAGGTAAACAAACTGTATGGGTGTACATACTACGCACTTTTTAATGAAAACTCTGCGAGCGAGTATTTTGATAAATGGACTGACAAGAGCTGCTTAATGTATTTTCCCTCTGGCTCCCGCTGATTGGATAATTTTCTGAATGTTTTTCTCATCCTTGATGACCCTCTTTGTGTGTGTATGTGTGTGTCTACACTTACGTGTTCCTGTGCATGCAATAAAAGAACAACGAGGGATTATTAAACTGAACCAGCAACAATTTGTTTGTTTGACCCCGAGCCCAAAGGCTCACATCAATTATGTGGTTTATTCTTTGGAGAGGGGAGAAAGGAAGGGAGTTTATGAAGGTGAGAAAATCTGTCACGGAGCTGCGGTGGGTGAGCCTGACGCAACAATTGCTTTTCTGACTTCAGCTCAAAAGCTGCTGGTCCTTTCTTCTCTTGGACAGATGAAGACATCACCTCAAACACCTCCAAATTGTTTCAATTTTGAAAAAAGCAATTAGCAAAACAATTATTCATAGAAAAAAGTAGTCACGGACAGGGAACGCTCTGCAAAGTTCAGCGGAACTGCAGTAAAGAGGCAAGTGAATGATTGCAGTTCAGCGTACCATCTGTAGACACTGCAGCTATGAGACGGACGGACTAACAGTGATAGATCGAGGGAGCCGGCTGGAGGATTAATGGCAGAGCCGGTCGTTCTCTGGAAAAAAAAAAAAAAAAAACTCTGCACATTACAATTGTTTTAACGGAGGATGGGATGTCTGCAGGTGTTGTTGCGCTCCGGGCAACTCGATCCAAAGACTGTTTTTACTGCGCATACAACTAACCTCAATTTCACTTGGAACATTTATAAAGACACAACCCGCTGCACAAGTACTGCATTAGCAACATCTCTACAGCTGCACATACTTCTCCCGTGACCATACATTTGTGAATAACGCTGCCCACTCCAGCCACAACGAACACACAAGACCAAACGGGGTAAGAATCAGCATTCAATTAAGGGGCCTTAATGAACTCGGTCCGCCATGGATTCATCTCTCAGCTGGAAAAATAAATCTGCACAGCACCATTACGGCAGTCTCCCTGGTCCCTTTACAGCGTCACATGGGAACACTCAAGCCTCCTTTGCCTGAATGTGGGGATAGAGAGTGACAGAATGGGCTGATGGGGTATTTAAATTTGAGATGTTTACGCAGCAAAAGCCTCCACTTCAATGTGCAGACAGGAGAGGACAGAAGCATGAAAAGACTGTGGGAACTTGCGTGTAAATGTTTGAATTGCACAAGTACCTTGCTTTGACTCAGGGGCGAGTATTAAAAATAGACAAGGACAGTGTAGCCAGCTGCTGTGCATATAGCCGTAGAATGCAGCCAAAAGGACAACCGCTGTCAGATTTATTCCTCATTAGTCTACGGCCCGAGATTAATGTTCATCCAACTACCCGAATCACACTGACGCAGCGGGCTTTATGAATGGAAGACTCACTTTCTCTGCATGAACATAATTCTTGCAGGATAAATACAGCCGGCCTCGACTTTCATTTGGAACCAAACTGTGTATAGTGGCACCTGTTCACCGTATTCATTTTTGCCATAATGACCATTCAGCAGATCCCACAGTCGTTAGAAAGATAGTTCTTTAAGTTAAAAGGCCTGGATTCAAACGTTCTTTACTGCATTCAACCACCCTGCTCGGGTGTCTCTGAGCAAAGCACATGGTTATGTGAGGCCACACAACCAGCAGATTACGATAATAACCGAGGTTCCACAGACTACACAATGGTAGAAATGATAAATAATAACCACATCGACAGCGCATGCACTGTTAAGTTGGATGCACATCAGCTACATAACAGCTTGCAACCGGATGACAAACTGCTTTTAATTGTTTATCGACGAGTCAGTTGATCCCTCTTTTACAAGGCTGCCCTCACAAACAACTTTGGCTCGGGACCTTTCGGTTTAAAGTTAGCCTTGATTAAGCATTGACCCGGTTTGGTTCGTCTCAGCAGACCTTGTCATGTGATGCAGCTTCGATCAGTTGCCGTTCTTCGCTTTTCTAGTTTTTTAGAAGAATCTTCACAGGCTTCTTTCTCTCTAATCTAAAACCCGCACGAGGTACAAGATTTGAAAATAATGCCACCGCATTGTTATGAACGTCGTGCCTGAGGGGAGCAACACGGCGCCACGTGTCAACCGCCACATGATCTCATGGGGAAGCCGAGTTAAACAAAGCGGAGAGTAAAACGGCACCACAAATTACTAGAGAAAAGCTTAGCAGAGACAAAAGACAACAGAAGAAGGCTAAACGAGTGGGGAGTGGAGGGGGGGTGTAGAATGGCTCGGGAGTAGCGGCCAACGTTAAACGCTAATCAACCATTCCTCAGCGAGAGCAAGAGGTGAGATCTTAAATCAGACGCCAGTAGAAGGCAAGCTAACGTTAGCCTCAAGGAGTAGAGCCTTTACCGTCGCTTAGAATCCCAGGAAGCTTTCAACCCCTAAAAAGAATTTGAACATTTTTTGAAATTATAGTGGCAGCGAGCAGTTAGGGAGTGAAATAGTGGAGCCGAATCTCACCGGCACTCTGTTGGCTGGTAGTGGGTTAGTCTGAGGGCCTCTGCTGCCATCCCGGGATCTATCGCCTCCGCCTGTTCCAGCAGGCACAGCTGGTGCGTGATCTCGGCCATCTCCTCCTGTAGGTGCTCGGTCTGGAGGGAGATCTCCGCGATTTTCTCCGCAGCGGACGCCGTCAGGAAGGCCTCTTTGAGGTCCACCAGGTGGAGGGTCCTCTTCTCCTCCAGACGCACCAGTTTGCGGAGCTCATCAAACTGACTGTTCACGTTGGCCTCCAGCTCCTTCGTTGACATCTGAGGTGTGTAGACGAGGGAGCGACAGGAAGAGATATTAAATTGAATACCTATGAAGTAGTCATTCAGATGCAAAAATGGAGATACAGTGATCCCTCGCCACTTCGCGGTTCACTTATCGCGGATTCGCTATTTCGCGGATTTTCATATTGCATTTTTTTTTTTTTGGTGCATTGTGCTCTGCATTCTGATTCGCTAAAAACTCACTCCCGAGCCGTTCATTACAGTTCTCCAACGTAATCGATGGTGGCATGTCGGTGTACAAGGATCTTTTTGCAAAGAAGAAAAAAGAGCGACAACAGCTGCCTATCACTATGTTCTTCTCCCGAACAAACACACCTGCACCGCGGGCTTCAGAAGAAGAGAACACTGCAGAGCGCAGTCAGGATGCAGCGGCCCAGTCTGAAGAGCAGTGAAACGGCCTACACGCGAGTCACTGTATTTGTATACATGTAATAGTTGCTAATTGTAAAAAAAAAAAAGTTTTCTATTTCGCGGATTTAACTTATCGCGGGTCATTTTCGGAACGTAACCCCCGCGATAAACGAGGGATTACTGTATACGAAATCGATTGAGGTTTTACTTTAAATATGGGAATACTACTTTAACAAGCCCACTGGTCTCTGCATGCAGGACCTAATTGATAGCACGAAGAAAAGCCTCGAGCAAACCCCCTGCAAGTAAACTCCATGCATCCCATCTGTAGATAGAGGCCTCAGAGACTCATCCACGAAGGCAAGCCATCTGTTTGGCTTTCAGGGCGACCAAACTGCTCACCGAGACACCTTTTCCACCCATTTCCCTGACGGAGCGCTCTTTGGCTACGACTCGTTACATGAAAACATCTCAATAAACAATTTGCATTTAACACTTAAAAAACCCATTCACAAAATGATGGATCTTTAATATTTAAGTCGAATTCCCCTGAAAATCCAAGTTCGCCTTTCAAATATACATTTTCAAAAAGCTTTAAGATGGAATTTCTTGATCATAGGTTTACCAAGTGTAATGTGAATGTGCATGTTTAAGAAATATATCTACAGTATGAACTCAATAAAAAATATTCTATTTATTATCACTTATCATGCAGAGCTCATGAATTTCACATAACATACAGCCTATTTTGTGGCGACACCAGGTTTCAGGGATTGGAAAGAAAGCAGTAGGAACAGATCACAAAGGGCCGCTACAACGTTAAACTTTTCGTCTTTAGCATCTCATCAAAACGAGCCCATTTCATCATGTTCTCCATGTCACATGTTCCTCTGCTCTGCGACCCCAACGGGGCCGTGGTTGCAGATGAGAGGCGTGATCCCGGGTCGCTGCTCTTTGTTTATCTGGAGCAGGAGACCTCTGCCCTCGAACCTTTCAGAGTTGCTCTGACAATTCGCCCAGCAAGTGAGGAAGCAACATTCATGCGTGCTGATCTGAAGCTGAAGCCACAAAAACGAGGCCTCAGGAGAGACAGCGGCACGTTTCTGCAAGGGCAGAGTGAGAGTAAGGACAGTAAGGGGGGGAGGGTGAGAGGGAGGCATCCGGCGAGCAGATTAGAAATGGTCATTTCTTTTTGAAGCAAAAAAACGGTACGATGACGGGCGAGCAGATTAGGGGAGCCATTGTCATTTCCGGCCGTGTTTCAAACATGCCTCGTATTATCACAACAAAACGGCTCTCAGAGAAATTGAGGAATTATGGTAATGCCGGTTAAGACTTCATACGTCCAATTTAACCCACAGTCATTTTGGATGGGTTATTACTTACATGGACCATATGAGCGACATGTGAAATGTGGGCTGACAGGTGAAATTGGGAGAGAAACAAAAACAAAAAGCAACAGCTCCTTGCGAGTGAAAATGTTTCACCAATGGTTGGGTTTGTGCCTTACTCAAAATAAAACGCTTTATAGACTTTCCACAAAGCCTTTACATGATTACAATCAAATAAAATTAACTTATAAAAAATAAGGGAGTCATTAGTGCCGAAGGAAAAAAAACTGCACAAAAGAACCACGGCCCTTGGGAATAAAAGTATAGCAGTGTTGAAGGCAAAAAAAACGTGTTGCACTCCTTTGGTGGGCCATCAGGACACGGCAATATGGAAAACAAAAGTCGGCTGAAAACAGCTTCTAGCATATATCAAGAGTAGAATCAGGGTTTTACTTAACCTCTTTAACGGCATAGACACCATCAGTGGATCAAATTAATTTTGGTGGACAAAAAGAAATATGTTTGAATTATCTTTAAAGTTTCAACAGACACCAAGCGTGTTCAAATAAATTTCAACCATGCGGATACAATCGTGTTCTTTTATCTCCCTGAATGTAAGCGTACGGCAGCTTCAATGAAGTAATGAAAAATGCAGACGTTCTTAGAAAATGGCATAGAGCCACTTTGATGCTCCTTGAGGGGGATTTTTTGGGAGCACTAGAGTTCAACTGGTTAACTTTCTTTGAAATCAGTGCCAGTCCTGTTTACTGGGGTCTGTTTTGTATCATGCCTTTTTTTAAATGGCTTAAGGAGCATTAACAGCACATTAGGAGTTAATGGATTTGAACTGTCCTTGCCCTTGGCAATGGTGGCCCAGTTCCAAGTGAACCCATCCCTCTAATGCCCGCTTTTATCTCTCCCAGAAATGAGATTCTCAAAAATCAAACCTCGAACACAACACAGCGACACGAGTTAATTTGAAAAACATCAGCTCTTCAAAAGTCACAAATGCAGAACTTCAAAGTGGGGATGGGAGAGAACTTCAAAGAGGAAGCGGAACAATGAGACAGAAGGCTTTTGGTTTAACGACGGTAAAGTTTAAACACCGTTTTATTGGTTCTGAGTGAGCCGGTGTCAGCAGAGCAACTTTCTAGGGAACGATTCACCAGTAATTCAATTAGAATGCCGCGGGTTGAGATGGAAGGGGAATTGCGGTCTTAAAGAGCATTAGGAGGGAGCGTACAGAGACAGAGAGAGGGGGGGGAGGGAGGATGAAAATAACCGTCTGCGTCTCTCGCACATTTGGCGATGCGGCGATGACGCAGACGGTCATTCGTCACTGGGCTGGTGTCGCCGTACTGCCGTCCAGATATCCGACTCGTCTCTTGAGGGCGGCGTGTGTCCCGGACGACGCCACCCCAGCAGGATGCGAGTACATAAAATAAGCTGTCCGAGAAGAAGGAACGCACACCGACTGGCCTGAGTTACTGACAGGACCCGGATGCTTACGAAGCGCCTCCGGTCCTGCAATAATATGCATAAATACTCGTCTTCACCTTCTCACAGACTGCAGATCGGACCGCTTTGATTGCTTTTCATCAATCTGCGCATTTGTAATAATGTTTAGTGTTAGAATTATAGTTTGTGTGTTATTAGATATTAGTTATTACATTAACATATTAGATGAAGTGAATGCAATTTCAATCAAACACAATTCATAGTCATTTAAATCATATAAACACTGTACACATTAACATTCTGTCACAATGTGATGTTAAAACCTGGGGACGGATGCTAATTGCCGTCCTTTATGGATTTCTCCCAATTTTATTCAATTTAATTTTTTCTCCTGTCAGGTTGTAAATGAACAACTTAATGTAAGGCAGCCAACTGGGGCAAATGTCTTGACAATTGAACCACATGAACTGTCTATCATTAATGATGGGTTGTTGTAATTAAAGTAAGTGTACTAGTTATAAGATGAAGACTTAACACTGCATGAAAAGTGAGATTTTCGTCCCCGTAAACGCCCGGAAATGTCCCTAATTTCCGACAATTTCCGACAATTTGCAACCCACGCACGTCGCGTTTGTCTGTGCCACAAATTGTCGGAAACGAACCATGACGTAGGTGGAGAGCTGGCGGAGGTGCGAATGGCCCGAATTAGCATATGAATGCAGCGAAACCGCGGGTGGCCGAGCCGAGCGGGCTTGAATATCCTTACTCCTTATTGGATGAAACCACAACTTACTAACAAATAAAATCACTCGTGATTGGCAGCAAAACCACACGTGGGCAGACCAGGCTTGAGTTTCCTTGTTCATGATTGGATGAAACCACAACTTTCAATCACTCGTGATTGGTTGGCAGATCTGTCGCTATTGGTCACCCGCCTCATTTTATCTCTAGACTCTATAGAAATTTCTGACAATTTACGGCAGTTTTCGGCGTTGCCCGCAAATTGCCGTGAACAGCCGCAAATCTTATGATGAAGTGTGATGAACGGGGATCATTAATGATGGATTGTTGTAATTAAAGTGTACTAGTTAAAAGATGAAGACTTAAACTATGTATGCTTTGTTAAATTCACTCATTGAGTCATAAAGCTAAATGTATCTACATTGAGTGCATCAGAATGTGAGGGACAGATAGTACAGTGAGGTTTCAGGTTACAGCTGCAGCTTCACACCTCGACGTGAAGGGGACAGTCCAGGAGGTGACCCTTTGAAGAAGAAGCCAATGACATTCAAATGCACCCAAGAAGACACACCTCAAGAGTTTTCAAAGGACCAAAGCGGGGAAAGGACTGTTAGAATTTTCCTGCAGCCGCTTTGATAAGTCGCTTTAGACTTGCTCAGAGGATTCTCTATTTCGCGAAATATTTTACTGTTCGCTTAGTATTTCACTTTGTAATTGCATTCCTTATAACGTTGTTTAGTTATTAAATACTTTTTGATTTTTGAATTTAAACGAATTGACTCATTCGTGTCCTCGTTTCCGGCCGGGGCGAGAACAAGGAGTGAGGCCTCCCTCGAGAGCTTTCCGAAATCCTAACATTTGGCGCCCAACGTGGGGCTCTCGATTGGGGGAAGACGTTGCTGAGAGGTTTGACTGCAAGTACCACGGGTACAAACAAGGTAAAACAGAACCTTTTTCATGAATTCTGTGATAGGTAGATTTAGGAAAATTTAGAGTGGTGCTGGCAGTCGGCCATGAGGCAAGGCCTTAGATGCTAAAGACTAAAGGCTAGTGCATTAATGACTTGGGTGAATATAATAAGCTGATATTGAATAA